CCTTAAAGATCCTCTAGTTTCACCCCCCCTGCCATGGGCAGGGACACCTTCCACTGGACCAGGTTGCTCAAAGCCCCACCCAGCCTGGCCTTGAACACTTCCAGGGATGGAGCTTCCACAGCTTCTGTGGGCAACTTGTTCCAGTGTCTCATCACCCTCAGAGTAAAAAATTTCTTCCTAATATCTAATCTAAATCTACCCTCTTACAGTTTAAAACTATTACCCGTTGACTTACTGCTACGCTCCCTGATAAAGAGTCGCTCCCCGTCTTTCCTGTAGGTCCCCTTTAGGTACTGGAAGGGGCTCTAAGGTCGCCCTGGAGCCTTCTCTTCTCCAGGCTGAACAACCCCAACTCTCTCAGCCTGTCTTCACAGGAGAGGTGCTCCAGCCCTCTGATCATCTTTGCGGCCCTCCTCTGGACCTGCTCCAACAGATCCATGTCCTTTTTATGTTGTGGGCCCCAGAGCTAGATGGAGTACTCCAGGTGGGGTCTCACAAGAGCAGAGTAGAGAGGCAGAATCAGCTTCCTTGACCTGCTGGCCACACTTCTTTAGATGCAGCCCAGGATATGGTTGGCTTTCTGGGCTTCAAGTGCACATTGTCAAGTCACACTGAAGTTCTCATCCACCAGTACCCCCAAGTCCTTCTCCTCAGGGCTGCTTTCAATCCATTCTCTGCCCAGCCTATATTTGTGCTTGGGATTGCCCCGACCCAGGTGCAGGACCTTGAACTTGGCCTTGTTGAATTTCATGAGGTTTGCACAGCCCCACCTCTCAAGCCTGTCCAGGTCCCTCTGGATTGCATCCCTTCCCTCCAGTGTGCTGACTGCTCCATACAGATTGGTGTTGTCAGCAAACTTGCTGAGCGTGCACTCGATCTCACTGTCCATGTGGCTGAAAAAGATGTTGAACAGAACTGGTCCCAGTACCGACCCCTGACGAATGCCACTCGTCACTGCTTACCCCTTGGACACTGAACCATTGACCACAGGTCTTTAAGTGCAACCATCCAGCCAGTTCCTTTTCCACCAAGTGGTCCATCAAACCCATCTCTCCGATTTAGAGATAAGGATGTCGTGCAGGACAGTGTCAAATGCACAAGTCCAGGTAGATGACACCAGTTGCTCTTCCCTTATCCACCAATGTTGTAACCCTGTTGGAGAAGGCCACCAGATTTGTCAGGTACAATTTACCTTTATTGAAGTCATGTTGGCTGTCACTGATCACCTCCTTATTTTCCATGTGCCTTAGCATAGTTTCCAGGAGTATCTGCTTCATGATCTTGCTGGGGACAGGTGAGATTGACTGGCCTGTAGTTCCCTGCGTCTTCCTTTTTTCCTTTTTTCATAATGGGGGTTATGTTTCCCCTTTTCCAGTTGGTGGGAACTTTACCAGAGTGCCAGGACTTCTCAAATGTGATGAATAGTGGCTTGGCAACTTCATTCACCAGTTCCCTCAGGCCCTGCGGATGCATCTCATGAGGTCCCATGTATTTGTGCACCTTCAGGTTCCTTAGATGGTCTCAGACCTGGTCTTTTCCTACAGTGGGTGGTACCTCATTCTCCCAGTCCCTGCCTTTGCCTTCTGTGACTTGCGTGGCGTGGCTAGAGCACTTGCAGGTGAAGACTGAGGAAAAAAAGTTATTGAGTACCTCAGCCTTATCCATATCCTGGATAATGAGGTCTCCCGTTTCCTTCTTGAGAGGGCCCACATTTTCTCTAGTCTTTCTTTTATCACTGACATATGTGTAGAAGCTTTTCTTGTTGCCTTTGACATCCCTGGCCAGATTTATCTCTGTCTGGGCTTTAGCTTTCCTAACCTGATTCCTGGCTGCTCGGATAGTTTCTCTGTGTGCCTCCTAGGCCACCTGTCCTTGCTTCCACCCTCTGTAGGCTTCCTTTTTCTGTTCCAGAGCTCCTTGTTCATCCATGCAGTCCTTCTGGTGTTCCTGCCTGACTTCTTTGTTGGGATGCATCACTCCTGAGCTTGGAGGAGGTAATCCTTGAATATTAACTAGCTTTCTTGGGCCCCTTTTCCCTCCAGGGCTTTATCCCATGGTACTCTGCCGAGCAGATCCCCAAAGAGGCCAAAGTCTGCTCTCCTGAAGTTCAGGGTAGTGAGCTTGCTGTGCACCCTCCTCGCTGCCCTAAGGATCTTGCACTCCACCATCTCATGGTCACTGCAGCCAAGGCTGCCCTTAAGCTTCACGTTCCCCACCAGCTCCTCCTTGTTGCTGAGAACAAGGTGCAGCATGGCACCTCTCCTTGTTGGCTCCTCTATCATTTGGAGAAGGAAGTTATCATCAACGCATTCCAGGAACCTCCTGGATTGCTTATGCCTTGCTCTCCAACAGGTAGGGGGTGGTTGAAGTCCCACATGAGGTCCGGGGCTTGTGAACATGAGGCTGCTTCTACCTGTCTATAGAGGGCCTCATCCGCTCGGTCTTCTCAGTCGGGTGGCCTGTAGGAGATCCCCACTATAATGTCACCTGTCCCTGTCCTCCCTTTAATACTGACCCATAAGCTCTCAGTTGGCTCCCCATCCATCCCCAGGCGAGCTCCATGCGCTCCACCTGGTCACTGACATAGAGGGCGACACCCCCTCCTTGTCTCCCCTGCCTGTCCTTCCTGAAGAGCCGGTATCCCTCCATTGCAACACTCCAATCACAGGAGCCATCTCACCACATCTCCTGATGCCAGTAAGATCATAGCCCTGCAGGCGTGCGCAGGTCTCTAACTCCTCTTGCTCTCATACTGCTTCACTGCCATCTACTGACCAGTTCTTAGACCATCTGCTCTTCACTTCAGTTCCTGTTTGCTTTGTTAAAACATTTTTTCCTTTCATTAAACTTCTCTGGTGGACTGTGCTGTGCTGGAAAACAGGCTTACCAGTCTACCAGCAAGCAAGGGCTGTTACCCACTACTAATTGTTCTTGAGCTACAACAGCAAATTGCTTGGCTTGTGTTATTTTAAATTCCCCCACAGTTGGGCAGAAATTGGCCCTGTTTTGCCAGGCTCTCTTCAGCAGTAGGAAGATGTTTGGCTGGAAGTAAGGATTTTCAAGGTGCAGAGCCCAAACAGATGAACAAGAAAAGAATTAGGGGCCAGACCTCGGAAGTAGTGAGAGCTGGGATTAGGCAAATCACTAAGTTGTGCCATGGTGTAGATGTGGTGCAGAGGGCTTTAGGGGCTGATTATGGCTGGGACTGCTGGGTCTGGGATTCCCAAACATCGTCTTCCCTTCCTCACTTACACTGTCCATAATGGTAAGCCTAATGACACAAGCTTTTTGCAGCTGAAGCAAATTCCATCCTATGGATTTTATAATCCATTCATTAGAGCCTACTCTTGTTTCGTTCTTAATCCTTAAATGCGCACATGAATCATCCATGTAAAAATAAATAGTTAAATACAGTGGGAAAGCTATAACAGTAAATCCAGTGGCTCTCTCACTCTGTTCTTTAAACTCATTCTCTTCCAGTTTTCTTTTAATGGGCATTTAAAAAGATTATTTGTGCAGATTGTCAGTGAGAACATAAAACAACAAGCCCACGGATGTTTGTAGTCAGAGCTGAATAGGCTGAGGAATTGGAAACCTCTGATCAGCATGGTTCTGAGTCAGCAAAGCTTGTACCAGGCCAGCTCCAGAAAAAGGATGTATAAGGCACCTAAACACAAAACTGCACACCAGCACTTTTCCGCTGAGCTCTCTGGGATCCACACACAGGACAGAATGGTTTCTTCCTCTCCTGCGGGGGTCAGAGCAGATCAAATTCCTGCCAAAGAGCAGTCATAGTTACTTTTCTCTTGAAACTATGGCAGTTAACTTTTTCCCGCTCTGACTTCATTCAGTGGTTCAGGATTAAAAAAAAAAAAAGGCGTTTGCCTCTGGCCTAGGTTTGAGCCCTTCTTCGCCTGAGCATCCCTCTAGGCTATGGCTGGGTTATGTCAGATGTTTCCTCCACTCTGCATATTCCCGCCTCGCCGTGGGCCAGGGTACAGCAAGGACAAAGTTCAGGGTTGGAGGGAAAGCAGAGAGCAAATACTGTAATCTGCGGAGTAACAAATTGTGGGTTTGCCAAGGGGCTAATTGCTTCTGAGAGACACCAAGCAATTTCCAGTTCTGACTGCTGCTCTGATCCAGTTCCTCTGCAGTCAGTGCAAAAGCTGACTCAGTTGACGTTGGTTCAGAACTTAATGGGGGAATAATATCTCACCGGCTTTTGAGTAATCAGGTTGGTGTGAATGCAGGAAGACAACAAGCACCTGTTGCACTGCAGTTCCCTGTGTTTTTTCTTATTTGCACTCCAGTTCTCTGATGCTACTCAACCCTTTTAGGCTGCTCTTGTAGGCAAAAATGATAGAATCATCTAGGTTGGAAGGGACCTATAAGATCATCAAGTCCAACCGTAAACCTAACACTGCCAAGTCCACCACTAAGCCATGTCCCGCAGCACCACATCTACACATCTTTTAAATACCTCCAGGGATGGTGACTCGACCGCTTCCCTGGGCAGCCTGTTCCAATGTTTGATAATCCTTTTTTGGGGTTTGGGTAATTTATACCTCTAGTGACTTTCAGGGACACACCGTGCATGTATATGAATGTGGTGAGTCCGGTGAGCAAAGTGAGTTCATGAACTACATTTCACAGAATGGCAGGGGTTGGATGGGACCTTTGGAGAGTGCTCTGTCACCCTCAGAGTAAAGAAGTTTTGCCTCATGTTCAGATGGAATTTCCTGTGTTCCAGTTTGTGCCCGTTGCCCCTTTTCCTGTCACTGGGCACTGCTGAAAAGAGCCTGGCCCCAACCTCTTGACACCCACCCTTTAGATATTTATAAGCATTAATGAGATCCCATCTCAGTCTTCTCTTCTCCAGGCTAAACAGACCCACGTCTCAGCCTTCAGTTCAAAGAGGGGTCTTTGAGTGTTTTCTTGATAGATGTATACCTGTGCTACAGAAGCTGCTTAAATATTTCCCCTTTCTGGTCCTTTTTTAGACTCCAAGATGAACTTGGATGATTTCATCAGTATGAATCCCAAAGTGGGATGGGGCTCGGTGTTCCCTCTTCCGGACTTTGTGCATCGATTTGGCAGACAGACTGATTACAGCTATTCCTTGGAAAGACAAGTGAAGTGAACAAAGAAGTTCTCCCTGCTTCTGTTTTGAGTGGGTGTGTTTTGTTTTGCTGCACTTACATTGTATTTATGGTTTACATTTCTTTACATGGAATAAGTACTTGGGCAAATAGAATACCCAGTCAGAAATATCACGAACTGAATAAAACCTTTTATTTTGATTATTAAAGAATGAACCTGGTTTTTAATATGTCAAATCAAAGGCAGACATCCCACCATAAGCTTATTATTTTTCCATCATCTACTGTGCCCAAATTGAAAAGAGCATTTACATGCTCTAACAAAAGCTTTTGGAAAAATATATGCATAAAATACTGAATAATGTAGTTCAAATAGTTAATTGTCGTCACATTTTAGAAATGAGATAGGTTATATTTTCTTTATGTTATGATTTATATCACTTATATAAACAGATGGCGCATCTCAGTTTAGTCACTAACTTTATCAACTATTACGCTTATTTAGCAGAAGCCTAAACGCCAGACCCACAAAGGGAACATAGATGTAGTAGTACAGTCTTGAAGTCCCAAGTGCTATGTAGAACCAGGTAAGTATCTAGGTTTCTGTGCTGCACAAGGGGAGAATTAAATGCCTGCCGTTTCTGTTAAACTGTTCTAGTGCTGACGGTTGCTGGAAGATGCAGTTGCTTTTCCTTCTTACGCTGGCTGTGCATTCTCACCTGCCCCCATGTGCTTGCACTTGGCATTTGTCTGGCCCCATGGTAATCCAGGGTCGGAAGCTAAACCGCCAGAAAGCAAAGGGTTTTTTTTTCTGCCTCTTAGCTCCTTGAACTGCCTTGCCATGAGGTCAGACAGCTGCTCTTGCTGGTGGAAGGA